CCCCCCTCCTCCCCCTCCTCCTCCTCCCTATCAGGTCCGGGCGGTTGCCTGTACAACCCCAAATACTACAGCTACATCGCCGTGCTGGCGCTGATGGCCACCACCATGCTGGTTCAGGTCAGCCACATGGTGAAGCTCACGCTGATGCTGCTCATCACGGGGGCCACGGGCATCGTCAACATCTACAGCTGGAGGGACATCTTCGACCGCTACGACATGGCCCGCTTCCAGGACTACAGGTGAGGCAGAGCCAGATCTGTGGAACACTTCCTCACACACCAAGTGTATCTGTAGATTAAAACGTAGCCTCGGGACCACTTCTTGACATATTATGCTAATTCTTCGGTTTCATACTTGTATTCTTTCGCCTATACTTTGACATGTTTACTAGATTGAATGTTCAAAAAGCTCTTTATTCTTCTCATACTGATTGGTTAGCTGGCCGGTCTGTTGTGATTTTTCAACCGCTTAGGCATGTTCTGCCCCTTATCGTATCAAGTACAATGTGTTGGAGCGCTAGCCAATAGATAGAATAGATCACACAAGTGTTACATGGTGATGTCATGAGGAACTAAACAAAGGAGTCCAACGGAGGCGTTCAGGCAGGAGGGAGTGTAAGGGAGAGAAACTCCCTCAAATACCTATTTAACACACTACAGGGAAGGACAAAGCATAATATGCTCTATTAAAATATTGTTGAAAGCTCAAAACATGTAAGTTATTAGCAAAATATATCATAAGATGCTATCCATTTGTTGGTCTTGGTTGTTTCTTTTAAATGTTGCGGCCATCATTGTGGGACAGCATTACCTCCTTACCTTTCATAAAGTGAATATGATAATAAAGGAAGCGTAGAAGCCCCTTTCCTATCATCTACAAAATGTGAACAGCTTTTATCAGGGCTGCCACTCAGCTATATCTGGGTCCTAACCACTCTTGAGATAAAAATATTTTTTAACCACAACCTAACAATCTACTGAAGCAACACACCTGGGTGCATGCTCAACTATTGGGGTCTTATATGTCATCATACTTACACTAACTGAATGTTGAAGATATGTAATCTTGGGGTCATCTAAAAGCTGGTATGGAGAAATGTCAATTGTTAATGTTTCTTCTTTGCAGCACATACCTGGTGCCCTCCAAGTTCACAATGACAATTATGATCTTCATTATGATGGTCAGCTTCTATTATTTCTCCAGACATGTAAGTAAACTTCTATCGATGCATTTACAGAATATCCCAGATTACAGAACTAAAAAGTACCAAGTCTAGCAATGTGGTGATGGTGTTACTACCTAATACAATAGTCTCGCTGCCAACAAAGTGTCCTCAGAGCGCTGTTGTTGTGTGATATAGAGAACATCTTTTGAAAGGATGCTGAATAGTCTTGTTTTTTCTAAAGTCGCAGGAAACTTGACTTAGACCTATTGTTGTTATTGTTGTTGGAATACTGTGATGTACTGGGCTAACTTAAGCATTTAACATTGTCTACCAGCAATGCATTTAATTACTAATGAAAGTCTTATGTTTGATATCTTGTTCATAATTGAGACAAGAATGTATATTAACCTGAAGTAATGGACGTTGTGTGCAAACTAATGATGATGAACACAATATTTAAACATTCTAAATAGGAGTGGAAGAATGCCACAAATCATCTTTACCCCACTTTACAACAACTCATTGTCCTTTACTTTAAACCATAATTGTACTAATGTCATAATCAAACTATGGTAGAAATGTTCTTTTGATAAATAATTTCTTGACATTGTGTCACTTAAAGATTCAAAGATGATTCATTGTCATTAAGCAACAGAGGGTTACACATTTGGCATTAGCATGGTTATGTGAGGGTATCGAGTATGAACAAGAGATCAGAAGTCATATCTGTTTGCAAACCCATACACATGTACTGGTCAAACGCGGACTCAGTCCCTCTTGCTGCCTGCAGGTGGAGAAGCTGGCCCGCACCCTGTTCCTGTGGAAGATAGAGGTCCACGAGCAGAAGGAGAAGGTGTATGAGATGAGGCGCTGGAACGAAGCCCTGGTGACCAACATGCTGCCGGAGCATGTGGCCCGACACTTCCTGGGCTCCAAGAAAAGGGACGAGGTAAGACCCTCCTTACTAGTATTCAATATTTCATCAACATGTGTTCCTCAAACTCTCATGTCTTACTCAACACACTCTATCTGACTCTTCCCAGGAGTTGTACAGCCAGTCCTACGATGAGATTGGAGTCATGTTTGCCTCCATTCCTAACTTCTCTGACTTCTACACGGAAGAGAGCATCAATAACGGAGGGATCGAATGCTTACGCTTCCTCAATGAGATCATCTCAGACTTTGACAGTGTAAGCTGATTTCTTCCCTCTGCTGTGTGTTTCAATATCAGTATGGGCACTGAAGTAACTCACAACATGACACATTCTACAGTTACATCGATTTAAAAGTCATACACAAATACAAGTGATGTTGCTATTTTAGAGCTGGTGACAGAAAATGGTAGATATCTTTTGAAGTGGATGGAGATTGAGTCCCTGTGGTTTCACTTTCACTTATGTTTAATCTTAAATTCAGGTTCAGGTTATTTATTTGTTACCGGAGGTAGATTTGGTTTGTAGTTTAAAGACAAGGGATCCATTGTCAGACAAGCTTTTTTAATTAACACAGACAACACGCAAATCTTTAAAAAAGTACCCAATGCTCCATCACATTTAAAACCCACAAATGGTTAAATAAATACATAAATAGCCATTGCTTCCATAGCCTCTGTGTGACGCTCTTTGAACTTCTTCATACGATGGCTGCTGGAACAAAGCTGTTGATATACCGCTTTGTTCTACGTCTTTGGTCTATTAATCTCCGGCGCCAAGAAAGAAGCTGAAATTCACTGTGCAAATGGTGGGAGTCGTTGAATAACCTCAGTCTGCTGGAGAACTTAACATCTGACAAACTGTTTCTGATCTAGACAGGTGACCAAACCATGACACTAACACAAGAAAAATGACGGAATGGACTCAATAAAATCAACATGAAACAAGACCAGTATGACCAAACAAACGCTTGTGCCCCTTTTTGCACACAGCTTTTACAGTTTGCTTTAAAAGTTACATTTTACGTCAATTATTGTCCTGAGATTTGAGTAAGTTGGCACACATCCCACTGTACTGTATCTTGATGGGTAAGACTTCATGTATGTGGTGATGTGTTGTAAAGTCAGTTACCATGTCTTTGGTTTTACATGTTCAGTCGTATATTGGACTTCTCACACCACCTGACAAAGTCGTCAATGTCCATGCCATGGCTGCTCTCATTGCCCTGGAGCCTACTAACAATACCAGAGTCACCTGCATACTTTAAAATCTTCCCCTTATATCCATGGCAGCTGCTGGATGAGCCTCAGTTCCGCTGCATCACAAAGATAAAGACCATCGGCAGCACCTACATGGCTGCCTCAGGAGTCACCCCAGACGTCAGCAACGGCTACAGCTGCATGAAGGTCAGACTGTTCACCTGACTCTGCAGTGTGTGTCTGCTCTCACTAAAGAACTTCTCAGTTGTTTTTCAGCAGTCCTGATGCAGCTGGTGTTGAGCTGCGTTTGTGTGTGTGTGCAGAAGGAGGAGCAGTCTGACAGAGAGCGCTGGCAGCACCTGGCAGACCTGGCAGACTTCGCTCTGGCCATGAAGGTCACACTCATGAACATCAACTACCAATCATTCAACAACTTCATGCTACGCATCGGTACGTGTGTGGGAGTCTGTGTGCAGAGATGGCAGCACTGATCAAGTTTTCCTGTAGCTCTTAAAGTTCACATAAACAGTCTTTAAACACTGCCAGAGCCCATACTGTGTTCCCTTTAGTGTTTACTTCCTGTCTGTTTTATCCTATACATCCATGGTTTTATTCTACTGTTCCCTTTAGAGTTTACTTCCTGTCTGTCTTCTTCTGTTGTTCCCGTTAGTGTTTACTTCCTGTCTGTCTGTTTTGTGGCCACCACTGGCATTAAATAGACAGGACTTCTTTCTGCGGATTGATATGACCTCACATAATCACTTGATGATAGCTTTCTTAGCAATTGTCTGATAGCGAAAAATAACAAAACCTCTGAATTTGCAAATCGACCAAACAGAATTGAGTATTCAACTAAGCTGTGTAATAAAAGTTAAAGTAATAGTTTGTATGTACATTGGCAGTATTCTGGCAATTGTTGTTATGAATTAGTGATGTCATTAATAGTCAATCAGGTAAATATGGGGTTTTGAGTTTGGAATAAAGTTGCATTATTAGTGCATGTGTTGTGCTGTGTTAAACATGGGGCAGCAATTAAGCAATTAAAGCACATGAGAATATAATTTGAGTTTCATATCCTATTTTAAAAGTACAAAACCATTTCCAAAAATCTAAAACCCAACAGGCTGTTTATTTTGTTCAGTGCTGTATATGATTAACAGTGAATATTCTAAAGTCACATGACTCACGTGAACTCTCCCCCCCCAGGTCTGAATAAGGGTGGAGTGTTAGCAGGAGTAATCGGTGCCCGGAAACCCCACTACGACATCTGGGGCAACACTGTGAACGTGGCCAGCCGCATGGAGTCAACGGGGGTGATGGGAAACATCCAGGTACAGCACTGAGACCCACTAAAGGCCTCTGCATCACTCAACACTGTTTAGACTCTACTAATGTGCCAGTGTAAACTACTCGGATGCAGAATCATCCAATTTCCCATTTAAGTGATCAATAAAAGTAGAAACTATATCACTGATTTATAAAAGTGTGCCTACAAAAAGATTTAGATGTACGTAAAGCTCAAATAAGACATCTTATTATTGGTCCATTTGGTATACAGTACTGAAGAAAACTGCTGTCACTAAAGAAGATACTGACTTTAATCCGTGTAAATCATATAATGAAACAAACCGCTATCATTAGCCGCTGGACTTGCTTGAAATATTTGTATACATTTTCAGCCTTTAGCAGCTAAAGAGACGGATATTTCCCCAAAACTCGGTAGGGACCAAAACAAGAGCTAAATGGGACTCGTATTGCACTTAGATTAATCGTGTGGAACAAACAGGACTCCAAATAAATGATCACATATGGATGACGACGTATGTTCTTTGTGTCTGCTGGATGAGTACATGTGTAATTGTTTGTGACGCATTTATCATAACAAAACATTACTATTTAAAGCACAATATGAATTAATTCAAAATCACATTTCTTTGTTTTTGCATGATCGGAATATATGAACAGTAATATTTGCCACATTTATTACAGTATTTATATATCAAACATTTTGTTGCAGCAAATATAAAATTCTGCTTTGCTTAGTTTCTGTGTGTGTGTGTGTGTGTGTGTGTGTGTGTGTGTGTGTGTGTGTGTGTACGTATACTTGTAATATGTATCGTACTAGTAACGTAAGTTA